GAAGAGTAAATTTTAAAGTATCAAACAGGGGCAAATAAGAAGGGATAAAAGTCACCATTTCTTGCTTTCCCTTACTACCTTACCTAAATAATCTACTTATAAACAATATGAAACATTCAGTGACTTTCTATTTTCTTTTGAGCAAAATACAAACTCCTTTTTTTTGGCATATGAAGACCTTAACAATCTGGCCTCAACCCATCTTTGCAGATGGATCTCCATTTACTCCTCCCCCCATCACACCCCCAACGTTCCAGTCAAAATGGCCTTCTATGTGGTCCCCACAAATCACACTCCATCTCCTATCTCTGGGCCTCTGCAAGGCTGTGCCATCCCACAAAACAAGGATCAACTGCCACTTTCTACAAAAGGCCTTTGATGATTAATCAGCAGTTGTTAACAATACTCTTTTACCTTCACTTTTATTCTGTACATATTTTGTCCTGGTGCTGTTCCCCCAGTAAAACTTAAGCTTCTTTAAGGCAAGGACTATTGGACTATTTCATTTGTGTCTTTGTTTCCTCTGACATTAGGCTAGTGCGTGCACATAGTTGGTGTGGGAGAAATTCTTGTTTATTTGAATATTCACATTCCCTACTGAAGTGGAGTGGGCACACTTATCAAAATGAGACTAACACGAAAGCACCAAACTTTCGACGAAACATCTGCTGATATCACACACACATACACTACTAAGACAGCCAGAAAATGAAGTGTGACTTATACCAGTGTCACAAAGTCCCATCAGATGGGTACACTGTCCAATATTCGGGAACCTGCAGCCTCAGAGCCATACCTGTGCCTTGGAGAAGCCTGTGGCAAAAGGCAAAGAGCAGCTCTCACAGGCCCCTCTTAATATAAATTTAGTCATGTTGCTCCAAAAGAAGAACTTCTCAGAGGTTAGTCATGTCTCTGCTGGCCAAACCACAAGCTCTATAGAGCAGGAACTCTGGCTTGTCCACCTCTATGTGCCTCTCTTTGCACTCGGCCCTTCACTTTCTAAGTATCCAGTTGTCCGGTCTCTGCCACCCCTATTCACAGGCCACTGAAGAAAGCTGGAGGGAGCTACAGAACTGAGCTGAGTGGGTCCACTACAAATGTATGTTATCTAACTTCAGCTGGGCCCTCATTACAGCAAAACAATCCTTTTACTCCTCCCACATTTCCTATTTCACTCCCCACAGTAGGGATGTTCCAAATCTTCTCTCCTAAAACCTTCCACATCTCTTCTTCCCCTCATCCTCTTTCAAACTGACAGATTTGCTTTGTACTTTAATGACAAAATAGAGGCCATTTGCTGTGACATGAACTCCTTCTTTTCTTCATCTCAAAACCCCATGCCATTCCCCAATATCTCCTCTTGTACTCTAAATTCTGATAATGAAGTGGTTTCACCAATGTTAATTGCTCTAGATGCACTCTCTCCTCCCTGTCTCCTTCAGTAGATTGCCCCGCAATCATGACTTTTCTCTTTCTAATCTTCATTCTCTTTCCAGAGCCTGCTTTTTCACCTACTGTTTCCTTCCATGCTGCCTAGCAACATGCCCAAGTCTCCCTGCCATCCCTTCAAGCTATCCTCACATACCTTTCTTCCGTTTCTCAGTCAAAATCCTAAAAAAAGCTTTCTACACTCATTGCTTCCACTTTCTCACCTCTCACTCACTCCTCAAGCCTTTGCTGGGTGGCTTCTGATTTATCACTTAGTTGAAACTTCTCTCTTCAAAGTAACCAAGGATTTCTTAATTGCCAAATTTAATGACCTTTCCTCAGTCTTTTTCCTTCTTGATCTCTCTGCAACATTTGGCACTACTGACCATTCACCTCTGGGACAATCTCTCTCATCTGGATTTTCCTGACATTGCTCTCTTCTGGGTCTTCATATAATGCCCCCTAATTTTGAATCTACCTCAAGGCTCTGTCCTGGGTCTCTCTTCTCTCTCCCTGTAATTTCTGACTTGATCTTGTCAGTTCACATGAGTTTAATTATCATCTATATGCAGATGACTCCCAGATTTATATATCCAACCTCAACATCTCTCCTGAGCACTTGTCCCGCATTACAAACTACTTATTGGACATTTCAAACAAGAAATCCCACAGACAACTCAAATTCATTATGTCCAGAACAGAACTCATTACCTTTCCTCCTAAATCCACACCTTTTCTGTACCTCCTTATTTCTATCAAGGACACCATAATCCTTCTAGTTTCCCAGGCTTCCAACCTCAGGGTTATCCTTGATTCCTCACTGTCATCTAACAGAGCCAATAAGCTGCAAAATCCTGCCATTTTTACATCTACCACATCTTTCAGATACGTCCCCTTTCTCACTACTCACATAGAAACCACCCTTAACAGGCTCTAATCACTTCTCACCTGGTCTGCTGCAAAGACCTCCCTGCCTCAAGTCTATTGCCTCTCTAATCCATTTGCCAAAATGATTTTCCTAAAATTCAGGTCTGACCATGTTACTCCCTCAATAAACACCAATGCCTCTCTATTGATTTTTGGATAAAAAGAAACTCCTCTTTTGGCTTTTAAAGATCTTCGCAACCTGGTGCCAACCTGCCTTTCCATCCTCAAGCATCACTCTCTTTCCTCAATGCTATCATGTAGCCAAACCTGCCCTTCTTGTTGTTCCTTACACAGAGCATTCCACCTCCCATCTCCCTTTGCATTGGCCATCCCACATTCCTGGAATGCATTCCTTCCTTTCCTTGCTTCTACCTCCTAGAATCCCTTACTTTCTTTAAGATTCAACTCAAGTACCACCTTCTACATGAAGCCCCTCTTGATCCCTCTGCTAACAGGGCCCACCCTCCTTCCCCAAACTAGCTCGTATTTATTTTGTCATTATTCTACATGTACCAGACATCCAGTCTCCCTCCATGAAAATGGATGTTCTTTGAGAGCATGGATTGTCATTTCTGTCTTTGTATCGCCATCACCCAGCAAAATGCCTGGCCTAGAATAGGTACTTTATATATGCTTATGGATTGATTTGATTCAAATATTTCTTAAATGATTTGTTCCCAACAATGAATACAGTCTCTGTTATTAAAAATCATACATTCTTAACCTTACAAAAATCAAATCTCTGAACATGAAATACTTTTTGGCTATGAATATGCCAGATAAACTCTTCAATTCCTAAGCTAAATGAACTGAAGGTGTAAGAGTCAATATTTCAATGATTTAGGAGAGGGTGTATTATTAAAAGGCAAAGATTTTAGTGAGGTATGGGGGACAAACGCCTCGAAAAAGTAAACCTACATTTTCTTTTGGTAAATTTTTTAATTTTAAACTCAACTACAAAATGAGAAAAGAAAAAAAAATTGCCATGTACATCACAGACCACAAGAGAGGATTCAATATAAAACAATATATTTCCATTTTGAGAAAAGCTATATAATACACATGACACATTGTTTTCAAAGCTGCCCAGCTTTTTTTTACTTCCTTGTTAGTTTTGTTCTCTGCTGTGCATTTTTTACTTTATTTTTTCCTCCCCCCCCCACTAAAGAAGGCTACAATTAAGCATGGATATATATATATACATATATATGCATATACATAGATATCTATAAACATACACATATGTAAACATATATACTCATACACATATATGTTAGACTATACTATGCTTATTTCCTCTCATCATCTGTTTTTCTGAAGGTAGATAGCATCTTCCTTCATATGTCCAAGTCTTTCCATGTTTTTCTAAATCAACTAGCTCATCATTTCCTACACCACAGCAATATTTCAACTCAGTCATATTCTATTTGAGAGATTGTCTATGAAAGCTTTTTTCCACAATTTTCTTTATTCCTTATGTTCTTGGCTACACAACTTTTATTTATACTATAAAATTTTAATTTAAAATCATCAAAATTATCCTTTTTACACTTCAATAATGCTCTTGCCTTATAATATAGTTTAAAGTCTGATACTGCTGAATCTACTTCTGTCCTACATCTTCTTTCCCTTTTTTTGAAGTTCCTGACCTTATGATCTTCCAAATAAACATTATTATTTTTTCTGACTCAACAGAATGATTTTTTAGTAATTTAATTGTGATAACATTGAATAAATAGATTAGTTAGGTAAAATTGTCATTTTTTAATTACATTTGCTTTACCTACCCATGAAGAACAAATATTATTTCAATTATTTAGATCTGAGTTTATTTGTATGTTTATGTTCATATAGTTCCTGTGTTGAACCTACATTTTCTTAAAAGACACCAGAACTCAGCTTAAGTGTTAGCCAAATGACCACCCACATCATTCAAACACCTTGTAAAAGAACAAGAAAGAAAAAATACTTAGAACAGGATGAGGGGTTGAACTTGAAGAGAAAATGCACTGAAATAAAATAGTGATCCATTGTACGTAAAGCCTTTCTCTAAGAAACTTAAGAGTCTTAGGGAAATTATCTTATTAATCCTCACAATATCCCTGTCAGTGAAGGAGTAGGCAGGTATTACTAACGCCACTTTACAGATTGAAAAATGGAGTCAGAGGGAAGTTGAGTCACAATCAAGGTGAAATGGTGAGTTAGTGGTTGAGGATTAAAATTCATGAGCTTCTGACTCCAGTTCTAATGATTCCTTTACAACACTGCACATGCACAGGTATGTCATGATAAATTATCTTTGCTGGAGAAGAGGAAGAAATATCTTTACTTTGTTTCTTAAAATGTTGGCATGAGCTTTGGGAAAGTTAAAATAGACAAGAGAATCATCTTGGTTCTTTAAGAAGGAAGGATAAAACCCGATGGTGTAATACTTCTTTTCCTCCCTTCCCTATCCCATCTCATTTTCATCAAATTTCATGACTCACAGTAACAGCCTACCTACCTTCTCATCAAACATGATTCAATCTATTGCTTAGTACAAAAATGAAACACCAAAGAAAATGTCAGCTGTCAGGTGCTCTGCTCCTCCCCTTTGTCCTCACAAAACAAAAAGAACAGGAAGCCTTTGGGGCTTTGCTACATACCTTTGCTTCATCGTTAATGTCCCAAGTGAAAGAAATGGCATTATAGGCAATCTCTTCAATGTTACTGATGGTATTGAAGCTTTCCTTATAGTCAGCTATAAGGGAAACAGTGAGAAAGATCAAGAGAAACTTGTGAATTCTAATTTAAGTTGGGTAGCATGAAACTTTTGTCATGATAAGATACAGTTTTTTTGCCTCCCTGAGGAATTTGAAGTTAACATATTCTTGGGTTGAAGAGAATGCATTAAAGATGACAAAAAGAATTCTAGCCTCTAAGGGACCATAGAAATCACTGTCCTAGTCCAACATTCTGTCATTTTACAGAGGACAAAAGTGATACCTGGAGAGGTAAAACAATTTGCCAAAAATCAGAAGGGTAGGAGCACAATAAGACTTTGATCCCATGTCCTCACTGCTAATCTAGGGCTCTAGAGAAAATAGAAGGGGGGAAAATACTACAGAGAGTAATAACCATTACTCTCATCCATGCTATACCGCAAAGGACCATACAAGATATAGCTCTTCATAAAGCTACTTCAGAAAAGCCTTCAGAATGGATTTTCTTGTAAGTTTGCTGTTAAAAACCAGATGACTAATCTCTAACTCCAGTCCCAGATATCAAGGGCTGGCAATGCAACTCAGCTTACAAGTAAGGAAGGCTAGAATCAAGCCATATTCCTGCTTTGCTTATAAGCAATGGTAAATCCATAGCATTTTCTCCTTTTCTTCCTCCTCTCCAAATGGTAGCAATTTGCTTTGGAATAAACAATACCAAAAAAAATATCCCTGAATGGTGTGGGGAGTGAGACACCTTTGTGTTTGCTGTATAGCTGGAGTCCCCACCTTTAAATGGAACACAGTAGTCATGATGGAGGAAGTGAAAGTGGGGACAAAGACAGTTCTGAGAGGCCAAGGACAATGTTTGGAAAAGGCCAGTGGCTGGTGAAAAAAATAAAATGGTTTTGTCAGGAAGCTGATCACTGCCAAAAAAAATTGGATTTAGAAAAAATGGGTGCTTGCAATTCTAAGAGTAAGAACAGGCTTGTGAGCTGCTTACCTATATCAATGCATCTTTGTTTGGCCGTGTGTTGCCTGGAGTGCCAGTATTTCCAATGCCTTAGCTGATCTTCCCGAGTTTTGTCTTCAGCAAACACCACCATAATCACACTCTGAGAGAAGACAAAAGGTTAAAGAAGTTGAAAAAACAAGAAGGTGAATCTTTTTGAAAAGGTTTACTTGACGTTAGACTTTGCATTTGAGGCCTAAGGCTAAAGTTTAGGGCTTGCAGCAAGTTCTATTTTAGAAAGAGAACACAGAATCTTTGTCCCTCACTTCCTGGAGGAAAAACTGACCAGGCACTCACCCGGACTTTGCTGATGGGATGGTGAATTCCTTCGTTGCTGCTCACTTCTTTCAAGGTGACAGGGTAAAACTGGCCCTTGTTCAGATACGTCATGGTGCTATCTCCTGGCTTCTGTCGGAGGGATTTGGAGGCTTCTAGAGTATATTCAAAGTTGTTCCTATGTGACAAAAAAGGCATTGAAGACTAAGGTACTCTTCTGGAAGGCTACCAACATGCTTTAGTTTAATTTGGAGAAGGTCCAGTGAATCCACTGATATACTAAATTGCTAAGGAAAATGCAATTGGCTCTGCCATCTTAAGAAAGACTCCTTTCTAACAACATTTCCATGAGGAAATAACTTTTCACACAGAAATACTTAACAATAAAAAAAACCCTCAACCCACTTGAGAAGTAATATGTTGAAGAACAAGATCCCTGGATTTGGAGTCAGAAGACTTTGGTTTAAGTAACCCACTCTGCCATTTACTATCTGTGTGCCTATTGGGCCAGATTATTACCCTCTCTAAAACTTGGTTTCCTCAGCTGTTAAATGGGGATGATATCTACTTCACGGATTATTGTAAGGGATAATGTATGTAAAGAATTTGTAAACTTCACTATTTAAATGTCAACCATTATTACAATAATATATAGCATTATAAATGGTCTCCTGAAATTTCATGGAAGCAAAAATCATGCACATACTAATGAAGGAAGAGAAACATGTAAGGCAGATATGTCTGTCATTCCAATATATAACCAGAGGGGCAGAGAAATTCTGTCATCTAAAAACTTGTTTGTTTTTCAATATTCACTACAGTATTTTAAATAGCTAGTTTCTCAATGCAAGCAACAAGTCCAATTAGGTAAATAGTAACAACTGTTGCCTTCATTTTATATCTTGCAAATGCTCTGGAAGAAGGTAGGTTAATTTAAAAAGTGGTTTTCTTTTGTACTTATTTGCAACAATCTACTTTATTCTGAAATTGTCAAAGAAACAGAGAATTTTATAGCTAGAATCTGAGCTATAACCTACCTTCTCTCTTTCCATTTCTTCTCCTAGACTCCATGACAGCTAACATTTGTGGAGCAATTTAATGCTTGCCAAGTGATTTATGTATATTACTTCATAGATTATATTACATTAGCTCCCCCCTAAAAAAAAAAAATCATAGGGAAGAGAGAGCTAAGATAAGTTTCAACTCAATTATTTCAAGAACTCTTACTTGAAAAAGTTCCAAGCAAAAGACTTCTGAAAAGATCACAACTAGCACCAAAATCAATTGTCGCTATGGAAATCCTAGCAAATAAATAGACTGCTATCTATCCTTCCTAAATAGCTTATTGGCATAATAAAATGAGGAAAAAGTCTTCATCAAACCATGAAGAACAGGTAGAAAAGGACTCATAGGTTGCAAAGAAAAAAAAATTACATAAATTATTATTACCCTGAGACACTGTCAAACACATAGTCCTCTGAATTCATGCCAGGCATCCTCAGACTGAGATCTGAAGGAAAGAAAACCTGAAATACAAACAATATAATAAAGCACAATTACTTGACTGGTCATGGTTACAAAAGACAGAAGCTAAGGTCTGGGCCTGCAAAAACTCAACATCTGGCATCGAAAGGATGTGTCTTAAGAATAACTCCATACCCTCCCAATATCTATTTTCATAAACAAGCCATGTAAATTAAGACTGATTCTGGGCACTCCACAAACTATTTGTGATTCATTATCCCCCTTGCCCACTTTCTCCACATATTCAAAATTTTGATTTAAGTTTTAGACTTCACAATCAGAAGCTCAATTTGCCTATTCCTTTAGAAGTCAAGTATTTCAGAGCGCCAAGTTCAAAATACAGTATGAAGTACATATTCTGACTAGATAAATTTGGAGTTTTTCTCAAGAGTTGTTGCTGTTCAGTTTCTAATCTCAAAGCTCTTATCTTCACACTCTCCTGTTCCTTACCTGCTACCAAATTTAGCATTTACCAAGAGAAAATACTTGGAAGTTATGGAGTTATTTGTAAATTTTACACCATGAATTTAACATCAGGATCCAACTACTTCTTATGGGTTATGGCAAATCACTTGTTTAGAATTATGGTAACAACCAAGAGGCACAAAGAATGAAAAGAAGGAATTGTATAGTTATATATCGAAAGAATATGTAGTTCTAAAAGGCTTGTAAGTTTTAGAAAAAGACACAGTCTAAATTAAACAGACTACATGAAGATACCTGTTGTCAATGAGATTACAAATGTGTTTTCTCTACCCTTCAGCAAATTATTTAGCTGAAATCATGATCTTTAAAACCAACTGTTGGTAAGATTAGCCATGTGCTTTTGATAATTATTTCTGGTTTTATAGGCTTAGTTTGCTCAATTATACCCATGGGCCTTTTCTCTTAAAAAAAAAATCTTCTATTTCTAATCCATTTCAGACTGAGATTTCAGTCTTACATAACAAGGAAAAAGTAGAACCTGATACTTATGTACAGCCCTATTAGGAAGATTTGTTGTTTCCTGTACCTCTTGCACGCCTTCCTTGAAGGTCTCTGAGAAGGTAGAATCTGGAGTACGCCTCTGCGCATTTGGGGGCTGAGCACCTGAGCTGAACTGGTCAGGGTTAAGGCTGCGGTCAAACACCACTACACGCTCAGTGGGTTCAGGGTGATAAACTGCTGGGGGAATTCCTACAGCAAAGCTGTGTGGCTGAGATTCCGTCTTGATGGAGTGTGTAGGCATTGTCGCTATGGACACAGTGACCGTTGTGTCAGGGGCAGTTAGATGACCTCTCTTATCGATGCCCAGTTGGTTGCCATGGGGTAGGACAATGTTAAATGGCACATTTTTCAGAACTTGCACTCTGTTTTCTCCAGCAGAAATGAGGGGTTGTTCAGTCACATTTGGTATGCTGTTTCTTTAAGAGAAGAGAAGAAAACTATGTTTTGAAGCTCAATTTTGATACCTTTTTTAACAGTTTTCTTGGCCAAAAGTATTTAAACACATTGTTAGGCCATGCACAATTTACTTGGCAGTGGACCAATAAATTAGAAATGTCTCAAAACCCATAATTGGAGTGATGAAATCATTCAAAATAGCTGTAAGTTAAACCCAAGGGTACTAGATGAAAGTTAGAGTACTGCTAAGCAATCCCCTTAAACATTTTATTTTGAATTATCCTGATAAAAGAAAACAATCCTATCTCTCTAGAAGCACATAGTTACAAATGCAGCTAACCTAGATCAATGTCACACATCCCAACAACCATTACTTTCATCAGCACCCCTGTTGTCCTAACCTTTATTTTAACTAAAAGAAAGCCGATTTCACTTTGATTCTTTGTACCTAAGAGATTTTGGCTTTGATGACAGTTAAAAAAATGCACTTCTCTTTGTTTCTAATAGGTAAAATTCAATAGCAGACTAATGTGTTGTAGATTCCAAAAAATTCCACAATCCTACAGATTAAAACAATTAGAACTACTTTCAAAAGGGTTCACTGTGGAGTCACCTCATCGTTTTCTTTGTCAATGAAGCAGTACACCTCTACTAGATAACCTAAAATATCTGAAAACCCCCAAATTATTTTTATAGAGCTTTGGAATATGCAGTATGTGTTATAGTTAGGCAGCTATCAAAATGAACTCATATTTCATAGAATTTATAAGTCTCAATCTAGTTCAGCCTTCTCGTTTTATAAATGAGAAAAATGAAGTTAAAAAAAATTATTTGCTCAAAGTTACCCAAGGCTAGGATTTGAACCAGGCCCTCTGATACTAAAAACAATGTTTTTTGGATACTGTGCTGTGTCTCCAAGGTCACATCAACTAGTGGTGTGGTAGAACACTTAAGATATATTACTGAAGTCAACTTTAAAAGCAAGAGTTGCTCAGTTGTTCAATCTTTTTCAGTCATGTCCCACTCTTTGTGACCCCATTTGAGGTTTTCTTGGCAAAGATACTGGAGTGGTTTGCCATTTCCTTCTCCAGCTCATTTTACAGATGAGGCAGCCGAGGCAGACAGGATTAAGTGACTTGCCCAGGGTAACCCAACTAGTAAGTCTCTGAGGCTGTGTTTGAATTCAGGGAGATGAGTCTTCCTGACTCCAGACCCAGCACCACTGTGTTACCTACCTGCCCATGTGCTAATAAATCCAGAGTTGCTGGTATTTCAAGTTTTCATTTTTTACTTTTCATTTATTTTTAAAATTTACATATACATATATTAAATTATTGAAGTTAATTCTAAAGATATCTTGTTAGAGGAGTAAGACTATCTCATTTTAAAGATAGCAACAGTAACTTTCTCAAAACTAGAAGCATCCTAGTTAGTGAGGATCTATAACAGAAATTAAACATTAATTCTCTCACCTATCCATCTCTCCCCCCAGGTACTCATCTATTACCTATATCAAATCCAAAACATTAACCTTTAACAAATTGGAATTTTCACAGAAATGGGGCATCTTTCAACTGCCCTGTCCTATGTTGTCATGAATTTGAACAAGTACCTTTTGTTGTGATCTGGGTCAGGGTGTTCAACATCTGGCTTTGCTGTTGATAATCTTCTCTCTCTGGGAACCTTATGGATTAAGACACACAAAGAATTCAGATCTTCAGTCAATGGTGATTCAGCTAAAGATTTCTTTTTCTCCAGATCTATGATTTCACTGGTATGAAGAACACCAGAGAACCTCCTGCCACCCAAACATATTAGAAATCATCAGTGTTTTATTGTCTTGAGACTTGCTGAGGTGCCGACTTCCACATGGCCACACGACCATATGTGACAGAGACAGGGCTTGAGCCAGGGTCTTCCTAAGGCCAATACTGGCTAAAGCTCTACCCACCAGGCAATGCTGCCTCCCTCATCCAAAGACAAAACAGGGATGTGGAAGTACCTGTGATTCCGTTATATGGAGAACTCCTAGATGATGAAGTCTTTCTACCAATGTAGGTAGCACCTTCTCTGGAACTTCTTAGAGAGTTTCCTGAGGCAATGAGAGGTTCAGTGACTTGCCCAGGGTCACACCTCCAGGATGTGTCAGAGACAGGACCTGAACCTAGATCCTCTGGGCCCTGAGGCTAGATTTCTAACCACTACACTTCTTCCTAAGATATAATAGGAAGAACAACCACAACAGCCAGCATTTATACAATGCCTACTATGTACCAGGTACTTTACAAATATTATCTCACTGGATCCTCACAACAACCCTGGGAGGTATGTATTATTATTATCCTCATTTTACAGTTGAGAAAACCGAGGCAAACCGAGGTTAAGTGACTTGCCTAGGGTCACACAGCTAGTGTCGGGCGTCCAATTTGAACTCATCTTCCTGACTTCCTAGCTGCTTAATATAGCTTAGCTTAAGATACAGCTTATTATTTTTTCACTAAATTAGGTAATACTTAGCTCAAGAGTAAGGAAAAACAGATGGATAGTTTGAGTACAACAGCATGCACAAAATATTAAAAGAACTGGAGGAGAACCTCCAGCATGCTAGGCCCCTTTTATAAAGCATACAGTGCATGCATCTATATTCATAAGATCACTACTCCAATAAGGTACTGATGTATAAGCACTACTTATTCTGTGGAGCCCAGTCAATGATACAGGCATTTTTCACCCCTGGTTGTCAAATAAGCTCAGGTCACTAGAACATAGCAAATATTCTTTTTTTTCCATGAAAAGAAAGCTATTTTATCCAGGAAGTTTTACCTTCTGTGCATAAATGCCATTTAAAAACTTTTGCTGATGTTGCATAATCACAGAAAATACAATGAAGTTCTATGAAATGAAAACTTTTCTACACACCAAAGATCTGTCAACTTTTTACTTCTTAGTTAATTTTCTCTAGTATCATTCCTCTAAGACCAAGTTAAATATAGGGGCAGGCACAGGAGTAGAACCTGTCAGTCATGTAAACAATTTACTTCTTAGACCTAAATCCTGGCCTTTAAATGATTAATTTCCTTATATATCCTTGAGATTCATACAATAACCCAAGACATGGAAAGCTATATTTCGGCTTTTTTCTTTCTCCATTATAAAGTTTTAAAAGACTTTCATTTGTAAACTATGTGCTAATTCTTAAGTGGGTTCTTCAAATAACTTCAGTAAAGCTCTGAAAGATATTGCATAACAATGATTGATACTTACTTAGATAACTGAGAACAAATAAATTAGGTTATTAAAAGCATCTAGTTCTGTATTTCCTACCTCAGAGGCCTACCTAGTAAGCAGTACTAAAGAACTGACCCTTCCTTAGGCTCACAGATTTTTCAAAATATCTACAGTACCTTTTAAATGTGCATGCATACACACGCACACACACACATACATACACACACACACACACTTATTGGTTTTGTATCAGTCTTTCTAGCATTAAAGTTTCAGGTTTTTTGTTTTCTTTGAAAATGTTACTTATTAGAAATACACCACAACTCAATTGCCATTTTAACAATTTATGTTTTTCTCACAGACTGGATTAATAAATTTGGCATCAGAAGGGTACATACAGTTTAACTTCCATGTCAAAAGAATCCTTCTGGGCTAATCTCCCCAGGCAAAAATTTCTCCAAGAACCATTCCTCAGATGATTTCTTCCCAATTCATAAAAAAGCTTTAACCATAACCATAACCTCCAAACCAGAAAACAAGACAGACTCAGCACTTGGTGCCAGGAATGAATTTTGTTAAACTTCATGTTCAGGTCTCCAACCAAAGAGAGTCTATTCCTCTTTCACTCTGTCTTTGTATCTCCAAAAGCCTTTCCTAAGTCAAAGTGGGAGAAGGGAATCTTATTCTACCACTGAAAAGAAATATGATGCTAGAAGCAGATTTTTCACACTAAGACATTTTGTCCCATGACTTCTGGCCATTCACTGACATGAAGGATGTGAGGTGGCTCATCACTACACCATGGTGGCAAGAATGACGGGCCTGGAGACCTAAATTCAAATCTGGCCTTGACACTTACTGTGTGACCCTGGGCAAGTCATGTAACCTCTGTTTGCCTTACGCCACTGGAGAAGGAAATGGCAAACCACTCCAGTATCTTTGCCAAGAAAAGTAACAGAGTCAGACACAACTGAACAACAACAACACATGCCATGGAAGCAATAAAGCAAAGGTACTATAGGGTAGACGAAAGATAAAGAATTGAACTCAAGGGATCAGGGTTCTACTAATGGCTTTGCCTCTGTAAATGAAAACAATCAACAACTGGCAAGCATTCATTATTCCCCTGCTGTGTGCCAGGCCCTCTGCTGGAATAAAAGGACAAAAACTGGTTCAGGGGATCATAAATCTAGGGCTAGAGAAGACCTCAGAGGTTAAAAATATATCCCACCCTCCATTTTCAAGGTGAAGAAACTGAGGCCCAAGGAGGTTAAGTGACTTGCCCAAAGTCACACAGGGAGTAAGCATCCAGAGAGAGATCAGAAAAGAAACAGTCTTTGCCCTCAAGAAACTTATATTCTTTCAATCAATCAAAAGCATGTACTAAAGTACCCACCTCTGTGCTAAGCACTAGAAATACAAAGAATAAATACCCACTACTACTCTCAAAGAGCTCACACTTTATTAGAGGAGATCATATAAGAATACACAGAATTAGAATGCATGTAGAATATAAGAATATATAGAATAAATATATGTGGAATAAGTACAAAATGATGACAAGGTGGTTAGAGAGAAAGACATTAGGAGTGAAGGATCCAGAGTCTTCAGGTATAACAGTGGTGCCAACCTCAAATAAAAATAGGGGCCACTAAACTGAACATAAGAATCCCTGCAGGTACATATTGACTTTGAAAACCACATATTAACATTATCTATGTTTTATTGTGTTTTTATTTATTTTTAACTGTTTCCCAATTCCATCTTAATTGAGTTCTGGTCACACTCAGGAGGGTTGTGGGCCATATTTTTGACACTTTTGATGTAGACAACAGTGCTGGAGCTGCTTCTTGAATGAAATAAGGGGTCCCTGAGGCTGAAGTTAAAAGGGAGTGTGCATTCCCAGCATGGTAGACAGCCAGTGCCCAAGCACAGTATAAAGAAATGTAGCCAGTTTGGCAGGCATGGGAAAGGGAGGAAGATATAACAAGGGTGGAAAGTTAAGTTAGGGCCAGATTGTGAAAGGCTACAAATGCCAGAGGAGTTTATTTTTATTTACTATTGGAGGCAATAGAGAACCACAGGAGTTTACTGAGTAGAAGACTGACAGCATCAGACCTGTGTTTTAGGAAAATTGCTTTAGCAGCTATGTGAAGAGGAGAAGAGACTCAAGACAAGGAGATCAATTAGGAGGCTACTGAAATAGTCCAGGCAAGATCTGATGATGGCTTGAATTAAGATGGTGGCTGTATGAATGGAGAGGAGAGGATGAAAGAGATGTTGTAAAGGTAGAAACTACATTTGGCTGTCAACTGAATACGTAGGGTAAGCAAAAGAGAAGAGTCAGGGATGACACATAGGTTTCAAACTGGGGTAATTGGAAGGATAGGGGTATCTAGGACGGAAATAGGAAATTTCAGAAGATATGTCGGTTGGCAGGAGGAGTGGTGGAAAGATTGTTTTGGACTTGCTATGTTTGACATGCCCAATAAGTAATTGGTGATACGGGACTGGAGCTCAGGGGAGAAACTGGGGCTAGATATATAGATACGTGAGTCATCAGCACAGAGATGATAATTAAACCCACGTGAGATGATGAGGTCACTAAGTGAGAGCATGCAGAGAGAGAGAGAGAAGGACTCAGATCAAAGCCTTGGGAGTTAGTATGGAACTAGCAGAAATGAAAAAAAAAATTACCACTGCAAGAAAAACAATTGAAAGTAGATGCTTTCCTGATTGGTGAGAAGTAGCGTCATCTTCAGATGAAGGACCGCACAGAAGATCAATGCAGGGAATGTTCCATTAAGCTAAACCACATATCCTTCACGTCTCTAAATGCAGATGGCATAGTTGATAAGAATTGGGAAGTCCAGAACAAAACAAACGAATTAATTCGACTTTCATATTCAGTGTAGGATACCAATCTGTGATGGTTTTAGACTGGATCTGTGATTTCATTAGTATTAGAAACTCCTTCCATCAATGCTCAACAGAAATTTTCTGTAATTCAGAGTTGTAGAGAGTTACCTAGGTCACTGAGAGTAACCTCAATGACTTGCCTACAGTCACAAAGCTGTCTTGCATCAGAGACAGCATTGGAACTACAGAGTTACTTTAAACACAGCAGAGGACATTGTAATATCATCAAAAAAGAAATCACCTTGATTAGAGTAAAGTAAAACAAAGTTACACCACATGTAAGAATTGTAGTCCTCTTTGGACTATCCAATTCACATGCTATGCCCAACATACAAGGAATCAGGAGCAATAATTCTTACATGCAGTGTAAATTTTATTTGGTCTTTACATCCCCAGTGCTTAGCAGAGTTTCTGGTTTGTTGTTTGTTCAGTTGTGTCCCATTCTCGGTGACCCCGTTTGGGGTTTTCTTGGCAAAGATACTGGAGTTGTTTGCCATTTCCTTCTCTAGCTCATTTGACAGATGAGGAAACTGAGGCAAACAAGGTTAAGTGACTTGCCCAAGGGGAACACGGATAGTAAGCGTCCTAGATTTGAACTCAGGTCTTCTGCCTCAGGGAGGCAATCCATCCACTGTGTCCATTTCCTGATACACAGTACTTAATAAATACTTGTTCAATGGTTGATAATTGTCACCAAAGCTAAGACTCCCTTCTGCAGAGTGTATATCAATAGGACCCACCTACTATCATCTTTTGTAATAGCTTCATCTTTCGCTTGTAAAGATAGGTCCTAGGGCAGCTGGGTTGCTTCATAAATTTTTAAAGCGATCCTTTGATTCTCTGATTGCAGATTTTCAGCTTTGAACCACATTAACTCAAAGGACTCATTAGGTTATTTATAGTCACTATAGAGCAACTTGCATTACATTCTACTAGCAAATTACTGTTTTATATGCAGTTTAATTGAGTGTATCTTCAGCTGTTGTTAAGCCTTTAACAAGGAGAGAGAGCTACCTTATAATAGTCATAGAGCAGGCCGAGAGCTGCTGCACTGTCCTCATCTCCATTGATACTCATCATCGCTTTGGTGGCTGCAGTAAGAGGGTTTTCCAGGAAAGATTTCCAAGCTTCATCTTCACTGGTGTAAGGTCGACGCTGTGAATAGACTGCTTCATTCTGAAGAACCAACACTGGCCTTTTGCTTTAAAAACAAAAATTAGAAAAATAAAACCACTGGGCATATTAGAAGACATAAAAAGCAACTAAAATCACTAAGAAAATCTTGAAATTCTTTTGCCCCATAAACCCAGGTGAGTCAATTGAAGGCCAGATATCATCAAACAGAACAGCCCACTTAAATGTAGCCCCAGAGGCCACCCACTAGAAAACAGTATTTAGACATCATGGGAACCTGTAGCTAATCTATACTTGGAACCCAACATAAACTGGATAGTTTGCCAAACCATGTAAGAGAATGCCTTGCTATTCAAATACTCTGCATAAACAGACATAAGGACATGGTATGATAACAACAGGACATTCATTTTCTTTGGGCATTATGTAGTCACAACTATATTCTCTTAGGATCTGAGTAGTTCTATCAAAACACGGCTGCAATTTATTTCCTTGCTTTTTCTTGTTGGTTTCCATGCCTTCAACAATTTCCTACCCTCTACCATCAAAAGGTTATCGGGGTAGGAGTAGAAAGGAAAATAGACACCTCATTTAATCCTTGGGGGTATATGAGAAAGTTATAATATGCTGCTGATTCCCTCAAGATTCAACATGGAATGTGGCCAAAGGGGACTGGAAATCAGCAAAGCAGTGTAATTTTCTGGCAAGACAGTTCAACTATTTATCTTAGAGATAAACATTCAATAACCTATAACAGTACCTTCAGAGCCACTGAGTGATTTTTTTAAACAGAAAAATGTCTTTTTTTTTAAAAGCATTCTTTCATTTATCACACTGGATAACACCTATAAAGTAGTAATAAGCTACACCAAAGTCTTGTCCTCTCCCTGTGCTTTGACTCTATTGCAGATTAAAATTTATTTTAGCAGATTAAAACAAACACCAGTGATTCCAAAAAATCTGAAATGTAAACATTCTGAACTATTATGCAGTTGGTATTATTTAATAATGGAAACGAACTGCAAATATCCAAGAAGTAGAAAACTAAACCCACAGAAGTGTAAAGAGAAGACTCTTGAAGAAGAAAAACAAATTTAAAAGTGAAAATGCTAAGAACTATACTAAAAAATCACTAATCTGGGAACCAGCAAATTTAAGCACTACAGGTGTTTATAAGACTCGTTTCTCATTGCAACACTCAGATGAAATGTGTGAATGGCCTAAAGGTAACCTACCTACTTTTAAGAGTGAGTGTAGAAAGATTATCTTTTAAAGCTATCAACGAAAAGTGTAGGGTTTGGCAGCCACCCAAACCCTTTAAAAAAACAGTGCTATAGATTCATTTGGGAAAATGAGACCATCTTTGATGGGGTTGGGGGATGGGGATGGGATTGAGGGGGTGAAAGCAGCATGGTGGTGTGAATAAAGAGCAGATTTTGGAGTCAGGAGGAGCTGGGTTCAAATGCTGCCTTCTGAATTGGGATGAAATATAAATCTCAAAAATCACTGTTTTACTTACACCCTGGCATAAAGCACTAGGAACCAGCATTTAATTGGGAAGGAAGTTTCTACAATGTATTGTCTATTTCTAAATAAACTTTGTTTAAACACATTGAAAAATTTTTTTAAAACTTTAAAATTGTACAGAGTGGGCATTTCCCTGAGCAGTAATAGAGCTGATTACAGCTAATGAACTAAGTCACACATTACTGTGATTATTTTTATATAACTAGGCTATTATTAATAATCAAAATAATTTTCAGAAGTGTTATGACAGCATAGGATTCCTCCATTCCTGAAATGCTAGTTTTTCTACCTTCTCTACTTTCTCTCCCTGTTCTCAATATTTTTCCCTATCATCAGAAAACAAACCAAAGTTTTTTGTAAGTTTCACATTTATATTTTTCACAAAAATACTTCACATTTAACACTGTGTGCTAAATGCCTCAATGTGTGCCTTGGTAATTAATACTTAGACTATAAATTAGTAAATAAAAACATAAATAGCAAAAGTTTTATTTCATTTACTTGTTAGTTATATCTATTCAACAAAGACTTCACCAAAACACTGAAATATTTGTTTGCCAGTGTTTGTGACAAATTTGAAGAACCCATTATAACATATTGAACTTAGGATTCCTAGTCTACTGCAAAAAGAGGAGACGTTTTCAAAAAATGCCTATGCCAAATCTATTTTAAATGGAAATTAAAAAAAAAAAGCTATTTGCCCTTTTTAGATAAATATACTGAGTATTTTTTTTGTTGTTTTTTGTTTTGTTTTGTTTTTAACCAATAGAAATAAAAAAAATCTCTGGAAATGTAGTACTTTCCAACTAATTATCCGGATTTAGAAGTTTTATGCTCTTCATAGCATAGATCTGAGTAATCTGTAATTACCACCAATGATGCAAGTAACAAAATAAGTTCCACAGAGCTTTGCAAAATTTTTTTAAGCTAATGCAATTGTTTTTTCCTCACAAAACCAGGAATGAGGCCACCAAAACACAAAAAAGTCATTCCTCGTGACATTCATACTCCAGAATAGTTCTCTATCACCATTCATTTATCAAATATATATTTCAGGCACACCAGATTACCTGGATAAATCCACCTTTCCAGCTGTGGGGTGCGTCTCAAAGAAATCCATTAGCTGCTACAGAGTACAAGAGGGAAGAGGCGCACGAGGGGAAAGGGTTTTCGTAGTTCCTATCTGCGCATCGATTTAAAATCACCAAAGGCCTGAGTACAACTCATCTCTTTTTCAAATGACACAACAAAAGCCATTACGGAATAAAATAAAATAGGTGTGTCTCGTGTAATGATGCTTCTATCTTCCAGCTTCTCTCACCATGCCTTAACCTGAACTCTTATTTTTAAAGGGGGTGGGGGGTGGGGTGGGGATGGCGATGTGGCACGCAGAGAGCTAATCTGCAGAATTCTGTTTAAGGACGGCCAGAAGCCGCAAGTGCCTGTCCCCCTGTAACGAGAGGCTGGGTTTCTTTCTTTTTCAATTTTTTTTTTATGGGGGTGGGGGAGTGGAGGTGGAAAGAGAAGCTTTGGGACTCAGAGGCTTCTCCGGACACACAGACTGATTGTTCTCCACACTCAGCATTTAAAGGGAGATGAAGGAGGACTAGACTATAAGGAAGGAGAAGCCGGAGGAGGACCAACGCCTTTCAGGTATCGAGTTTCCCCAAAGCCAAGAATCTCCTCCCGAGTTGTTTCAATTAAACAAAGAATAAGGAAAGGGGAGCGGGGAGGGGGGGGGAGTAGAGAGGAGAGATTGAGAGAGAAGTCAAAAAGGTGAAAAGGCATCTACCACCAACCCTACACACACACACCTGGCTTCAGCCACAGAACCACCAGGCGTGCGCTCCGTCCAAGGCGACAGACCTCCAACCCAACTCACCCCGGGATCAAAGGGCCAGGAGAGCACCGGAGCCTGGGAATTGGGGAAGGAGGATGGGGAGGGAGGTCGGGGGTGTTGTGCCTCGGGGCAGATGTCTAGACAAGGCTCTTCCCAGGCTGGGGGAAACGAGATCGAAGGGATCATGGGATTTGGGGCTTGAAGGGACTTCAGAGCCCTCTCATCTTAGAAGAAAACTGAGGTCCCAGAGAGAACCGCCCAAGGTCACCCGGGTGGCTGGTGGCCGGACCTGGACCCAAATTCCCTGACCAAGTCCACGACGCTGCGCCACGGAGGACCCCCGGACTATCCTCCACCCCCCACCTCACCCCCCACCCCATCCAGGGCAGAGGGGAAGCTGCCAGCGGAGAAAGAGGGAGGGGGAGGCTCGGCGCCCGCGTCCCGTCGATTCACCTGCACCGCCCCGGGCCACGAGTGGGAGCCAAGCTGGGATAAGCTGACAGGACGAGGAGGAGGAGGAGGAGGAAAAAGAAAAGAAAAAAGAGGAGGAGGTGAGGCTGCTTCCTGGGCTGGGTCTCCTCACTCTACCTACCTTCATGGCCAGGGCCACCCTTTCGCCCGACAGGACGGTCGGTCAGCCAATTGATCAGCGCACATTCATTAAGCTCTTAACTACGTGCCAGGCGCAACGCTAAGCGCTGAGGATACGAAGAAAGGCCCTCTTACGGGGGACATCTTCCCTGGCACAACCGGGGGGAGGGTCTCCCCTCCTGCCCGTCCGGCTCGCTCCCCGGCTGGGGCCTCCCCGGGCCCCGGGCGTGCTCCCCTCGCCCTCACTCACTTGTCGTACTCCTGGGTCATCTCGTTCTCCCGCTCTCTGGGTCTCGCTCTCTCCCTGCCGCCGCCGCCGCCGGCCCGGTCGCAGAACTGGACTTTCGGGTTGGGACAGTGCACCCGATGGGGGGTGGGGGGAAAGAAGAGGAGGCGGCGCGGTTGCCTGTGGCGGGCGGGCGCGCGGCGGCCGCGTTTGGCGAGGTCCGGAGCAGCGGCTCAGACGGGTTAGGTTCGCTTTTCTTGCTCTCTGAGCTGGCCCTGGCGCTGGCCGAGCGCATGGCCCCCCCCCCCCACCCTGGGCACCGGCCTGGCTTCCCATTGGCTGGCGCCGCGTGGGCGGGGCCTCGAGGGGCTGGGAAACTTGCTAAGGTCCTTGATTGGGACTCTGAGCATTCACACTGCTCCAGGAAAAGAAGAGTAAAGGTGGGGAAAAGGCTAGGACTCGTCTTTGGGTGTGGAATCTTGGGGTGCTCGTCGTTCGGTTTGGAATCCCGGGGGACGTGCGGCGGGCAAGAGCCGGGCTTGGCACGCACTGAGCGCTCACAGCCTTTGTCCCGATGCTTGTCGGCCAAGTGGCAAAGCAAAGTCCGTGCCCTATTCCCTCAGTCTCTGAGTTCGTAGGGCGCCCGGATTCCTGGTCCTCCTCTACCTCCTCACGACCCCTAACTTAGATCTTCACCTGTTGTGAGCATTCAGAGCCCCCTCCTCCCTTTACCTGGACACTCCCTTACCGCCTCTGGCTCTATAGCTTTTGCAGCTATGGAAATTGTCGAGGCAGGCACCCTCTGTCCAAACCCCTTAAGACAAATGTGACAGAATGTCAGAGTTGGAAGGGACCCTAGAGAACTAGTGCAACACTCTTAAGTTTGCAGATAGGGAAACAGGATAAGACAGAGAACCGAGACATATCCAAAAAAACATACAACATTTCACTAGCAGAGCTACTATTAAGAAATCTAGGTCGTCTGACTTCTAGTCTGAAGACTATAGGAGCATAAACTTGTTATATTATAAAATAATAGGAGTGTAATTTTAGAGCTGAAAAGGACCGCGTCTTGTTCTACCGCATCACTTTAGAAATCTGGAGAAGGGAAGGGGCAATGTTAAAGGTTCCTTTGCATCCTCACATCTTGGAATCAGTCTGAAGAGCTTTTTTTTTTTTTTTAAATTAAATCTCTGATTTTAAGCTGTCCTGGGAACTCCCCGTGTGGAAATGCCTTCCCCTATTAGTACTCGTTTGAAACATATACTCATAGAAGTACTAAATGTTAAGTGGTCCCTCGTTCACAACTACGGTGTATTAGAGACCGAACTTGAACCCAGATTTTCCCCATTCTAAGTCCCTGCCTCTATCGTTGCTGCCCCGCACAGCCTCTCAATGCCCTCTACCACATCTCTGGCACCTTCCATTTTTTTATTCACACAAGTCACCGCTCTTGTTCAGTCCTCTTTGCCTCTCACCTAGTTATTACAATAGCGTTCTAATTGATTCTTTTGGCCTCAAGTCACTCCCTACTCCAATTCTTCCTGAACATAGCTGACAATGTAATTTTCCTCAAGTGCAGGTCTGACCAAGTCACTCCCTTGCTTAATAAACCCCAATGATTCCCCATTACCTTTATGGTCAAACATAAACTCCTCTATTTGGCTTTGAAAAACCCTCACATCTTGGCACCAACCCACCTTTTCAATCTTGTTATATATATTCACTCCCCCTTGCCACTCTCTATGGTCCAGCTAAACACAATCTCAGGCCTCAGTGTCTCTCAGTTATCCAGAATGCACTTATTTCTCACCTCCACCTCTCAGAATCTTTTCTTTCTTTCAAAACTCAAGTGACACCTTATACAGGAAATCTTTCCTGTTTTCCTCAGTGGTCAGCCCCTTCCCTCCCCCAAATTAACTTTTATTTATTGTTTATATCCTGGTATATATTACATGTTCCCCACCTTCACCCTCAATAGAATATAAGTTCCTTGAGGACAGGGACTGTTGTTTTTGTTTCTGTATCCCCAGTGCCTAGAATAATTCCTGGCATGTAGTAGTGCTTAATAAATGCTTGTTGATTGATTGAGAAACTAATAGCTACCTACTTCTCTAAATGATAGTCCTTGCTTCTCCTGGCTCTGCATTTCCCTTCAGCCCCCTCCTTCCAAAGTCTCCAAAGAAACCTGACATCAAACAAGTCTACAATCAATGTAGTATACTCTCAAATCACAGACAGATCTGTGATTTTATCTATGTGGACATTCCCTTCAAAATGCAGATCACAACCCATCCCCGTCTGCCTGCCTGCCTTTGTGACTCATCTATGTCTTCCCATGCTGAGGGCCCTTCTCACTTTCTCCTGATATATGGATACCAATAAAGCATATTGGCTGCCTGTCAGTGAGCTCTGCTCTTGTCACATGACCAGTCCATTTTTTTCAATCGTATGTTGCTTTGATAATACCTTTTATTCCAGTTATTCTTATGTTCCTTTTGTTGTGTGCTGCCGCCTGCTCAAATCTGCCCATTTACAACTCCATTGTCCTCTGAATATTTTTTAATTTTTTAGAAACTAGTGTTCTATGGCAGTCATACAACAACACTGGTATTGGCATTAAAAAGAAGGGCCTTTGTTTCAGGGAGAAGTTTAGGGTCATTTCAATGTAATCCAGCTTGCTCTCTTCTTGTTTAATTGGGGACCCAACTCAAGGTCCATTTGCAGCATCTGCCCAAGTATATATATTGCATGTCATAGGTTTTTTGTTTTTTTTTTTACAATTCTCTCCACTTCTCCAATTCTCCTCCCTCAGGAACTGTAAAATGAGCTGGAGAAGGAAATGGCAAACCATTCTAGTATCTTTGCCAAGGAAACCCCAAATGGGATCACAAAGAGTTGGACATGACTAAAGCAACTGAACAACAACAACAAAATGAAAATTCCATTAATAACATAGGTGAATAGGTAATTTTGGCTGGCTTCCTGGTCAGGTAAAAGGCTTATTGAAGATTCAGCTCAAGTTCCAACTGTTCCATGAAATCTTCCTTGGCTATTTTAGTCCTCACTAATCTTTCGGTCCCCCATTTTACAATCTGTGCCATACGATTTAGCTCTTGGTTACATTGTCTTGTTTATTTTTTTCTGTTTTTCCAACTAGACTGTAAAGTTCTTGAGGGCAAAGAATATGTCATTTCCTCACTCTGAGTCTTGGTTTCTTCACTTCTAAAATGAAAGCTGAACTAAATGATGACTAAGGTCCTTTCCAGCTCTGACATTGTGAGTTCCAAGGTTCCTTCCAGTTCTAATATTCTGTATTCTGTACTCAGTTCTATGTCAATGTCAGTCCATTAATCTATGACTGATCACCATTGCCTCTGCCTTCCTTAACCACCATTCCTCTTTATGTGTTCCCTTTCCCTATTACAACATTGGCTTCTTGAGGACAGGGGCTGTCTTTCTTGCTTATTTTTGTATCACTAGTGCTAAGTGACATCTCTTAAGTGCTTAAAAATGCTTCCCCCTCCCCCATTCACTGACTTTAAGCACATTCCTCCCTCTAGCATATTATTTCTATGTTCTCCGTTCTAAGGACCCATTTTATGGTTCTATGAGAAGAGTTCTTAACCTTGGGTTCATGAACTTTTAAAAATATTTTGCTAACTGTACTCAATATAATTGCAATCCTATGTACTTTATTTTATGTACTTAAAAACACGATTCTGAGAAGGGGACCATAGCCTTCACCAGATAGGTGGAAGAGGGCATAACACAAAAAAGACGAAGATCTTCTGCTCTATGATCTAAAGTCCTTTCTAACTCTAACGCTGTATGTATGTATGTTTTATATTTCTTTTTAATGATACCCACAGTGTTGAACATACTAAATACTCAATATAGACTTAAAAGAATCATAGAACCTTAGATTTAGAAGAGAAAACTAGAAGTTCTCTATTCCAAGCCCCTGTCTGCAGTAGGAATTTCCTTAAATCATTCCTAATAAGTGCTATAGGGCTACTGCTAGAACATCTTAAAATAACAAGAAACTCACTACATACCAAGGCAATCCATGTTAATGTGGGACAACTCTTAACTCTAAGGAAATTTTCTTTTATATTGAACAGAAATCTGCCTCCCACTTCTACACACTCATCCTTGCTCTGCCCTTTGAGGCCAAGGTGGGAGGACACATCTAATATTTTGTAGCTAATGCTGTGATTATTTCTGCATGACTTTCTGAAATGGATCTTGTCAAATAACTGAGATTTAGTCCATATTCTATTTCCAAGAGACAAGCAGATAACCACAACACTGCAATATGTAGCATAGTAATAATAACAGCTAGCATTTATACAATATTTTAAAGTTTGCAAAATGATTTACAAATATTATCTTATTTTACCCTCAAAACAATCCCAGAAGGTAGGTGCTATAATTATCTCCATTTTACAGATGAGGATAAATCATGATACTTTGAGTAGGACCAGAGGTCTAAAAAT